TAGAGATGGGGTTTCACCCTGTTGGTCAGGCTGTTCTCGAACTCCTGACCTTGTGGTCTGCCCGCCTCGGCCTCCCAAAGTGCTGGGATTACAGGCGTGAGCCACTGTACCCGGCCCATATCAGGGTGTTAATGTCTGTCTCATAAATATTATTGTGAGGGTGGAGTAAGAATGGGAGCAAGCCACAGTTGGTGGACAAGAAATGCTGTTACGATTATACGGTCAGAGCCAAGTGAGGACTGACTCTCCGAAGTGGCGACCTGAGGGCTGTTTGGAGTTGGGTAGGTTTCATGGAATAGGAAGGGGCTTCTAGGAGGGAACAGCCTGAGCAACGCCATGGAGGACAGAAGTGTAAAGGCAGTAGGAAACTTGTGTGGCTGGATGAAAAGTGTAGCTTGGGGTAACCCCATGGTTAGAAAGTGAGACTGGGGCCAGATCAGGGAGAGCCTTGAATGCGAACCCAACACATTTAAACTTAATCCTTAGGTAGCAGGGAGCCAATGAATGTTTCGGAACACAGGTGGCAAACGAAGATGTCGTATTTTAGAAAGGTTAATTATGGTAAATCCGTATTAAATGGACCAAGTGAAGAAAGACAAAAAGCATGACTGTGTCATTCAAACTCCATCTTGTGACCATAAAAAATATGCCAGGGTTAGGAGCAACAGCCCTGACAGAAGACAGCTCTGGATTCCAGCCCTGGCTCAGCAACTTTATGGTCTGGCTGATGGGTGAATCACTTTACCTCCCTCAGCCCCAGCTTCTCTACCTGTAAAGTGGAGACATTAATCTCTATTCGTCTATCTCATTGGACTCCTATGAGAATCAAATGAAAAAAAATGAACTCATTTAAAACACTGAACCTCAGGCTGGGCATGGTGGCTCATGTCTATAATCCCAACACTATGGGAGGCCAAGAGGAGAGGATTGCTCGAAGCTAGGAGTTGGAGACCAGCCTGGGCAACATAACAAGACCTCATCTCTATAGCTGGGCACAGTGTCGAATGCCTGTAGTCCCAGCCACTCAGGAGGCTGAAGCTGGAGGATCACTTGAGCCTGGGAGTTCAAGGCTGCAATAAGTGCAGTTTGAGGCTGCACTTCAGCCTGGGGGACAGCAAGATCCTATCTTCACAAGATGTTTCTTTTTCTTTTTTTTTTTTTGAGAAGGAGTCTCACTCTGTCGCCCAGGCTGGAGTGCAGTGGCACCATCTCTGCTCACTGCAACCGCCTCCCCGGTATAAGCAATTCTCCTGCCTCATCCTCCCGAGTAGCTGGGACTACAGGTGTGTGACACCACACCCAGCTAATTTTGTATTTTTTTTTTAGTAGAGATGGGGTTTCACCATGTTTGCCAGGCTGTTCTCAAACTCCTGAACTCATGATCCGCCTGCCTTGGCCTCCCAAAGTGCTGGGATTTCAGGCATGAGCCACCATGCCTGGCTGATCTTGTCTTCAAAAAAAAAAAAAAAATTCAACCTCCATCGTGTGTCAAGTTGTGTGGTGGAACTGCTCTAAAAAGAGGCACACAATGGCCGGGCGCGGTGGCTCAAGCCTGTAATCCCAGCACTTTGGGAGGCCGAGGCGGGTGGATCACGAGGTCGAGAGATCGAGACCAACCTGGTCAACATGGTGAAACCCCGTCTCTACTAAAATACAAAAAATTAGCTGGGCATGGTGGCACGTGCCTGTAATCCCAGCTACTCAGGAGGCTGAGGCAGGAGAATTGCCTGAACCTAGGAGGCGGAGGTTGCGGTGAGCCGAGATCACGCCATTGCACTCCAGCCTGGGTAACAGGAGCGAAACTCTGTCTCAAAAAAAAAAAAAAAAAAAGAGGCACACAATGACCAATTTTTTTCTCTCTTTTTTTTTTTTTTTTTGAGATGAAGTTTCACTTTTGTTACCGAGGCTGGAGTACAGTGGCGTGATCTCGGCTCACTGCAACCTCCGCCTCCCGGGTTCAAGCAATTCTCTCACCTCAGCCTCCCAAGTAGTTGAGACTATAGGCACCCACCACTGTACCCAGGTAATTTTTTGTATTTTTAGTAGAGACAGGGTTTCACCACGTTAGCCAGGATGGTCTCGATTTCCTGACCTTGTGATCCACCCACCTTGGCCTCCCAAAGTGCTAGGATTACAGGCATGGCCACTGCACCCGGTCTATTTTTTTCTTTCTTTTTTTTTTTTTACAGATAGGATCTCGCTCTATTGCCCAGCCTGGAGTGCAGTGGCAGGATCATAAATCATTGCAGCTTCAAACTCCTGAGCTCAAGCAATCCTCTTGTCTCAGCCTCCGGAAGTGTTGGGATTATAGGCGTGAACTGCTGTGCCTTGCCAATGACCAATTATTGAGTGCTCACTGTGTGCAGCTTTCCATCTATCGTCTCATTTAATCTGCACATTCGCTGGGCATGGGGTTGTGCACATGTGTTGTCTCTGCTACTTGGGAGGCTGAGACAGGAGGATCACTTAAATCCAGGAGTTTGAGGCTGCAGTGAGGCTCACACCACTGTACTCCAGCCTGGGCAACAAAATGAGACCCTATTTCTAAAATAAATAAATAAAAATAAAATGTAAAAATCTGCACAGTGTTACTAACCAATTGGTACTACTATCAAATCTGGGTTTTGGTTTTATTTAATCCATTTTATAGCTGGGCGCAGTGGCTTACACCTGTAATCCCAGCACTTTGGGAGGCCAAGGCAGGTGGATCACCTGAGATCAGGAGTTCAAGATCAGCCTGGCCAACATGGTGAAACCTGGTCTCTACTAAAAATATAAAAAATTAGCCATGGTGGCAGGTGCCTATAATCCCAGTTACTCGGGAGGCTGAGGCAGGAGAATTGCTTGAACCCGGGAGGCAGAGGTTGTGGTGAGCTGAGATTGTGCCATTGCATTCCAGCCTGGGCAACAAGAGCAAAAATCTGTCTTTAAAAAAAAATCCATTTTACAAATGAGGAAAAGGAGCTTCAGAGTCTCACCCAAGTAACTCACCCACAGTGTTCAGCTCTTCTGTGGCAGGGCTCAGGGCGTGGACCCAGGGATGACCCAGGGCTGAGATGGCTTCCTCCCACCAGGCCATTTCCAACATCCAGACCTTTGTTTTGCTGTTCCCTTTCCTGGTAGCCTATCCTGTTTTTTTTCTTTTTTCTCTCTCTCTCTTTTTTGAGATGGAGTCTCTTTCTGTGGCCCAGGCTGGAGTGCAGTGCCACAATCTCAGTTCACTGCAACCTCTAGTGGCCTGGGGTTCAAGTGATTCTCCTGCCTCTGCCTCTTGAGTAGCTGGGACTATAGGCACGTGCCACCATGCCCTGATGATTTTTGTATTTTTAGTAGATAGAGATGCAGTTTCACCATGTTGGCCAGGCTGGTCTCGAACTCCTGACCTCAGTGATCTGTCTGCCTCGGCCTCCCAAAGTGCTGGGATTACAGGTGTGAGCCACCACATCTGGCCGCATCCTATCTTTTTTTTAATTTTTGCATGTGCAATTTCTACTCATCTTTCAAGTTTTAGATCAGTTTCTGGAAGCTTCTGGGACCTCTGATTGGGTCCCTCCTCTGAGCTTTCTCAGCATTTAACCAAATTTCTCCCACGACATTAATCATACCAGCACTCTATTCCTGGTCTCCAAGTCTTTAAAAAAAAATATCCAGGCCAGGTGCAGTGGCTCAAGACTGTAATCCCAGCACTTTGGGAGGCTGAGGCAGGAGAATCACTTGAGGTCAGGAGTTTGAGACTGTCTTGGCCAACATGGTAAAACCCCGTCTCCACAAAACAATACAAAAATTAGCTGGGCACATGCCTGTAGCCCCAGCTACTCGGGAGGCTGAGGCAGGAGAATCACTTGAACTGGGGAGGCGGAGATTGCAGTGAGTCGAGATTGCACCACTGCACTCCAGTCGGGTGACAGAGCGAGACTCTGTCTCCAAAAAAAAAAAAAAAAAACCAGGCATGATGGCACAAGCAGCTATTTGGGAGGTTGAGGCTGGAGAATCGCTTGAACCCAGGAGGCAGAGGTTGTAATGAGTCAAGATCGTGCCACTGAACTCCAGCCTGGGAGAAAGAGTGAAACCCTGTCTCAAAAAAACAAATAAGTAAAATAAAATAAAATATAAAAATACATAAATTGTCCAGGCATGGTGGCAGGCGCCTGTAATCCCAGTTACTCAGGAGGCTGAGGAGCAAGAATTACTTATACTCAGGCGGCAGAGATTGAAGTGAGCCAGGATCACACAACTGCACTCCGACCTGGGTGACAAGAGCAAAATTCTGTCTCAAAAATAAATAAATAAAAAAGCAGGTCCCCTGTCAGTAGAAAAGGAAAAGAGTTAAGTGTATACCTCCAATACAGACATATTCTTTATAAATTATATACATTTCTGTCAACCATATATTAAATATTTGTAAATCCTAGTTCTTATTTATCTATTTTCTTTTTGACTTGGAGTCTTGCTCTGTCACCCAGGCTGGAGTGCAGTGGTAGGATCTGGGCTCACTGCAGCCTCTGTCTCCTGGGTTCAAGCAATTCTCCTGCCTCAGCCTCCCAAGTAGGTGGGACTACAGGTGCCCACCACGACGCCTGGCTAATTTTTGAATTTTTAGTGGAGACAGGATTTCACCGTGCTGGCCAGACTGGTCTGGAACTCCTGACCTCAAATGATCCACCTGCCTCAGCCTCCCAAAGTGCTTGGATTACAGGTGTGAGTCACCGCTCCCGGCCCTTATTTTTTGTGAGAAATAAAGATAAATACGATACAGTCTAATGTTTTCTTCCCACATCCCACTGACAAATGACCAATCGGCCCCTCTCATTCCAAGCTTCTGGGTACTCCTGGGGGCAGGTGGAACTGGTGGCCATCCTGCAGGCTGCTGGGGATCTGGGAAGACCTGGAGCTGAGATTCTTTCCCAGTGGCCTGGGCCCAGCGGGGGCCAGGGGTGGAGGGGTCGTGGGATGTAGCACCTCCCACAGCGCGGCCAGGCCTCCACTGCTTGAGCAGGGGGAGGAGGGGTGAGGTTGAGCCGGGATTAGCAAGAGTAGGGAGGGAGGCTCCTAGACCTGCAGAGAAAGGGGCGCGGATAGGTGAAGGCACCATGCCTCTGCAGAACGAAACCCTCCGAGAGGTGTGGGCCTCTGACAGGTCTGGAAGGCCCCCATTTTGGGGTACCTGAACCCTGGGGGGCTTAGATGGAAGGGATGGGTGGGATGGGGAGGGAGGGGACGGGAGACAGGCTGATCCCTTTGCTACCCTCAGTGGGCATGAAGAAGAAAGCCTGAGCCCGGAGGCCCAGCGGCGCCCGAAGCAGGTATGCCACACCACTTGGAAAGGAAGCAGAAAGATGTCCCCACTGTGCGTAAACCCACGCAGAGTAGGGGGTCTAGGGGTGGGACAGGTCCCCCTCAGCAGGGTCTGCAGGTTGCATGTCTGAAGATTTGCGGGGAGAAAGGGCTGTGTGGGGCTTAGGGTTTCCAGGGGAGGTATTGGGACTTTGGAGCATTGGATGGGCCGCGATGCACGGAAGGGGTCATCCTTCACTCCAGGAAGGGGGCTGCAGTTCCCCCTGGATAATCTGCGGTTATTTCTGGCAGCTCAAGGGATTAGAGGGGGATGGGCAGCCTCAGAACCCCCCTTTCCTTCTTCGTCCTCCTCTTGACCCCCCTTCCGCAGCGACCCGCCCCGGCACAGAGGCTAAGGAAGAAGAGGACAGAGGGCCCCGAATCCCCCTGCCCCACGGGATCCAAGCCCCGGAAGCCCGGAGGTGGGCGGGGTGCGGGGTGCGGAGCGGGGCGGACCCCCAGGGTGTGGGCTGCGGGAGGGAGGGGCCTGAGGGCCCGCGCGGGGTCCAGGTGATGAGGGGGCGGCGAATGGGGTTGGGAGCTGGCAGCTGGTGGGGTAAAAGGGGTGGGAGGTTGAATGAAAGCCGGGGAGGAGTGTTGAAAGTGGAAGGGGCCCAGGGGAGACCCCCTAGGGTGAGGAGCCCGAGGGGGCACGCCCAGGCTTGGGGGTAGCTGGTAGAGGTGCTGCCTCGTGGACCCGCGGATGGAACCCCGTCTGAACCCCGCATCTCGGCTCAGCTGGGCGAAGGGGGAGGCCGCGGGAGGAGCCTTCCCCAGACCCAGCCGAAGCCCGGGCGCCGCAGACGGTCTACGCCAGGTTCCTCAGGGACCCCGAGGCCAAGAAGCGAGACCCCCGGGAAACCTTTCTGGTAGCCCGTGCCCCAGACGCGGAGGATGGTGAGAGAGGGCCCTGGGGACGCGGGTGAGGGGGCAGTGGAGCCAAGGAGAGAAGGGGCTGGCTGGGCGGGACGACCCCGAGAGGCAGAAAACAGCTGTAGCCAAACAGCCCCCACTTCTCTGGCCTTGTCTTTGAGCCAGGTATTGTGCTAAGCACCAACTACAAGAGGGTGATTGTTCCCCCCAACCCCATTGTACAGTTGGAGAAACTGAGTCAGAGAGGGGTTAAGGGTTTTGCCTTAAATAGCAGTGAGGAGCCAGAAGTTGCCCAGATGGGTCTGACTCAAGATGAGAAACAGACAAGGTCAGGGAGAAGCAGTGGGTGCAGGGAGAAGGGGCCAGGGGAGTGTGTAAGGGGAGGAGGGTGGCAGGGAGGGAGAGGGAGGCCATTTCCCCAAGATAGGATTCCAACAACCCCAGCCACTCCCCTGACTTGCAGACCCTGAAGGCTGCCAGTCACCCTCACTCTTCTGGGAAGGTGCCAGGTCTCCTGTTCCTGTTTCAGAAGGGCAGGCTCCCCTCCTGGTGCCCATGCACCACTTCCCAGCAGGATGGAGGGACTGGGCTCCCCAGATAAGGAGGGCCCCGCTCAAACCCCCATTAAAGAGTTTCTACCTACAGAGGAGGAGGAGGAGGAGGAGGAAGAGGATGAGGATGATGAGGAAAAGGAGGCAGAGGAAAAGAAAAAGAAAATCCTTCTGCCTCCCAAGAAGCCTCTGAAAGAGAAGAGCTCCGCAGACCTGAAGGAGAGGAGGGCCAAGGCCCAGGGCCTAAGGGGTGGGTGCTGAGGGAGCCCATGGGGAAGCAGAACAGCCCTGTCCCTGGGGGGGTGGGGCTTGGCATCTCACTGAGACACAGTGGTCCAGGCCTCAAAACAAACCCAGAGCTGTGACGGGAGAGTTTTTCCTCTGATGGTTTCTTCCCCCCATGGTCCTTAAGAACATAGACCAATATATGCCCAACTGCCCCTGTCCCTTGTGCTCTGTGAGCCAGAGGAGGACAGAGGATTCTAGTTTTTTCTTTTCTTTTCTTTTTGAGACAAAATGTTGCCTTTGTTGCCCAGGCTGGAGTGCAATGGCAGGATCTTGGCTCACCCAAACCTCCACCTCCTGGGTTCAAGCAATTCTCCTGCCTCAGCCTCCCAAGTAGCTGGGATTACAGGCACATACCACCACGCCCAGCTAATTTTGTATTTTTAGTAGAGACAGGGTTTCTCCATGTTGGGCAGGCTGGTCTCGAACTCCCAACCTCAGCCTCAGGTGATCCACCCAACTCAGCCTCCCAAAGTGCTGGGATTACAGGCGTTAGCCACTGCACCCAAACAGGATTCTAGTTTTCTTTGTGTTTTTTGTTTAGTTTTTGTTTTAACTCAATGGAAATTGTTATCATTTTTATAAAAGTATCAAAGTGATTACAGTAAAAAGAAATCAGTGAGTCAGTGCTGTGATGGCATCCTGGCCGGGGTAACTTACCTGATAGATACCAGCAGCCTGGCCTAGAGCTAGGACCTTGGGCCTCTGAGGCCGGGAGAGCTCACTCTGGAGCGGTGACCAGAGAATGGTTCCTTGGTTAGAAGGCCTGGTGTTTATTCGTTTGGGAACTGCTTGTTAAGCTCCTGGTCTTTGCCCAGAGCTTTTCTGGACTCAGGGAAAGAAAAACCAAGACGAGCAGAAGTCAATACAAATTAGCTGGCTGTAGTGGGAGCACCTGTAGTCCCAGTTACTTGGGAGGCTGAGGCACAAGAATTACTTGAACCCAGGAGGCAGACGTTGGAGTGAACGGAGATCCTGCCACTACACTCCAGCCTGAGCAATACAGCGAGACTGTCTCAAAAAAAAAAAAAAAAGCAGAAGAAGGCAGGCTGTGGGCCCCTGTCAAACCTTCAGCCTCCCTGGGGACTATAGGGAGGAGAGAGGGTTGGAAGGCAGCCTTCAGCCCCAATAGACACCGTCTCTGCCTGACCCCCATCTTCCATTTCCAGGAGACCTGGAAAGCCCTGACCCCACACCGAAACCTCTGCGCACCAGGAATAAAGAAGCCCCAGCAGGGGAGGGGACCAAGATAAGAAAGGCCAAGAAGAAAGGTGAGCCCAGCCCAGGGAGGAACAGGGGACTCTAGCTGCGGTGAGGGTTGTAATGCTTTCACATCCACAATGCAGGGTCCGGGGAGGCAGACAAGGACCCCTCAGGGAGCCCAGCCAGTGCCAGAAAGAGCCCAGCAGCCCTGTTTCTGGTTGGGGAAGGCAGTCCTGCCAAGAAAGCTCTGAAGAAGAAAGGTGGATGGCAAGGGATTCTGCTGTGGTGACATATTGAGGTGGTCCTAGGGGAGGGGAGCTGGTGGGTCCTTACGTCATATGGGACAGTGCCAGGTAAGGAGCTGTGGGGTCTAGAGTCAGACAGTGTCCGGGGCATCTTAATCCCCACTTTGATAGCTGTGTAGTCTCAGGTAGGTGTCTTAGCCTTTCTGAGTTCTAATAATAACATGGGGTTTACCCTCTTGTGGTTGTGGGAAGAATCCAAGTGAGACATGGGTGCAGACCAGGGTGAGGAATTCACAGCCTTGTTTCCCCCTCCGTGCCCAGGCACTCCCAAAGGCGAGAGAAAGGAGGAAGAAGAGGAGGACAAGGCAGCTACCGTGACAAAGAACAGCAATCAAAAGGGCAAAGCCAAAGGAAAAGGCAAAAAGGTTGGGGCCCAGCGGGACAGGGGGCTGAGGTCCCTTCAGGAAGCAGAGGCAGGGGCCTGGACCTGGGAACCTAGAGGGTGGGGCCTTGGAGTCACTTGAGGTTAGAACCATGGCTCCCCATCTCATGATAGGATATGAGGACAAAGGGAACCAGGTTTGTGCAAACAGAGGAGGCGTTTGTGGGATCATTAGGCTAGGACTGGCCACGCAAGGGCCTTCTGTCATCTGGGCTCTCTGAGGCCTCCCCTCTGCAGCATAACCATCAGATAGCCAGGGATGCCCCCACGCCCATGTTTTCTGTGCTAGGGAGCACATAGGCAGAGAGGCATATGAGAACTGACTGACTGTTAGCTGCACCAGTTGTTAAAATGTTTCTACCCTACTGCCCTGAGCTCCCTAGGCACTTTCACCCACCCTACCCAGGACTTCCCAACTTCCCAGCAACTAAATACTCCAGCAATGAAAGAATCAACACTGCCCATCAGGGGCCTCTGGGTTCTCCTCCAAGCTTACCAGTGGGCATCTCAAACAGGTTGTTACATATTTTGAATATTGCCCCTGCTCACAAACAGGACTCAGGTGCCAACACACAAAAGCTGGAGTAAGCAGGAGAGGGAGGTCCAGCTGAGAGAAAGTAACGGAAGTCTTGGAGGAACAGGTTTCCCCCACTGGGGAGAGCACCGTGAGGACGGGGCCTGAGTTTTAGCTTTGTAGGTCTATTAGTTTATGCAGGAGGGGTCAGGTCTGGGGGGACTGATTCATATTAACCAAGATCACCAGATGCTGATGTACAATCTGAAAAGCCAGTTTACTGTCTCCCAGGGGGAATATAACTACAGAGCAGCCTGCAGTACAGTAGGCTCTTGAAATTCGCAGCTGCTGAAGTGTTTGAATAAGCTCTGACTTTCTCCACCTCACGTTCCAAACATAGTCTTTTATTTCCCAAGCTTCTTCTGGAACAGCCTAGAGTGGAGAATGGGTGGTCACGTGTCCCTGAGCTGAGGGCTCATATGCTCCATCTCTACTAAAAATACAAAAATTAGCAGAGTGTGGTGGTGTGCACCTGTAGTCCCAGCTACTTGGGAGGATGAGGCAGGAGAATCGCTTGAACCCAGGCAGTGGAGGTTGCGGTGAGCCAAGATCATGCCACTGCACTCCAGCCTGGGTGACAGAGTGAGACTCCATCTCAGAAAAAAACAAAAAACAAAAAAAAACGGCCAACCACAGCACATCAGGCCTTCTTTCTGGCTCCCAAGTAGCACTGGACCCTCAAATGCACACACCCAGGCTGGCAGTCCATGCTTGCTCCTGTTGGAAAGTTGGGCTTAGACTCTTGGCTCCCTTTCTGTGAGGGATAGAACATGAGAACAAATGGTACCAGGTTTGTGAGAACAGAAGGGGCTGTTGTGGGGTCACCAGGCCACCCTAGGGCTTTATGTCACCAAATCGTTCCTAGGATTTTCTCGGTGAGCAAAGTAAGCCTACATATTCATTCATATATTAGCTATGCAGTGCTGTGTAACAAATCACCCCAAACTGAGTATCTAAAAACAACATTTACTTTCTTATTCTTATTCTGAGAGTCAGGAATCTAGGAGTGGCTTAACAGGGTAGTTCTGGCTCAGGGTCTCTGATGAAGCTGCAATCAGAATGTCAGCTGGGGCTGCTGTCATTCTGAAGGCTTCACTGGAAATGAAGGATCCACTTTTAAAATAGCTTCCTGTGGTAGGTGTTAGCTGAAGATCTCAGCTCCTTCCTACAGGGACCTCTCCTGGGGGCTGCTTGAGTGTTCTTATGACATGACAGCCAACTTCTCCCAAAGCCCAAGAGACAGAGAGGCATGTAGAAGCCACAATATATTTTATTGTGGCTAAATTGACCTAACCTTGGAAGTGGCCCACCATCACTTCTGCCATATTCTACTGGTCACAGGGACCAACCCTGGTACACAGTGGGAGGAGATTACACGAAGGCACAAATACCAGGAGACAAGGATCACTGGGTGCCATCTTATGATAATGAATATCATTTCAACTGTGTTTATTTACTATATGCTAACAATAGCAGTAGTAACTAACACTTCCATAGTGCTTAGAACACAGCAGTCCATTCTGTCAGCCCCACTTCACTAACTGAGACAGTATGTAAAGGATGGAAGGGTTTTTTTGGTTTTTTTTTGAGATGGAGAGAAAGTAATGAAAGTCTTGGAGGAACTGTCTGTTGCCAGGCTGGAAAGCAGTGGCACCATCTCAGCTCACTGCAACCTCCACCTCTCAGGTTCAAGCAATTCTCCAGCTTTAGCCTTCTGAGTAACTGGGATTACAGATGCACACCACGCCCAGTTGATTTTGTATTTTTAGTTGAGACAGGGTTTCACCATGTTGGCCAGAATGGTCTTGATCTCTTAACCTCATGATCTGCCTGCCTCAACCTCCCAAAGTGCTGGGATTACAGGCATGAGCCACCTGCTCAGCCAAGGGAAGTTCTTTCTAAAAGCTCTGGATCTCATAGGAGATTGGACAGGACTCACGCCCCGGCTCCACCTCTGACTAGTTACATGAACTTGGGAAGTGACTTACCTTCTATAAGCCTCAGCTTCTTCATCTGCACAATGGGGATGACTACCATGGTGGGGTGATATGAGGATGAAATGAGTTAATATGTGGAAAGTACGTAGAACTATGGCACCCTGGTAGAATTTATGCAAAGATTTGTTAAATACGTAGGTAAGGTTGTCCCAGGTATCCACCCCTACTGTACTCACTTCTCAGATGAGAAAATGGAGTCACATGGTGATCTGACAGTTACTGGTGAACTGTCAGATCACCATGTGAGGCGGGGTGAAACTAGGATTTGACCCTAGACAATCTGGCTCCCAAGTGTGTGCTCCTCACCACAAGCTAAGCAGAATAAAAATAAGTCATAGAGCTCCCCAGAGCCTCCTAACTTGGCCGTGCTGGGCTGTCAGGGAGTGTGAGGGGCAGAGGCATCCCAGCCTCCAGGGATTCAGCCCTGCTCTAGCCAGCCTCTCTGTTCTCTCTGCACACAGAAAGCGGTAAGTCGTCTTGCCAGGCTGCGGGTGTCCCAGCACTGGGACCTGCTGGGGGCGGGGAAGCTGGTGCTCTGGGGCTGATATACCCTCTGCCCCCACCCAGAAGGAGGAGAGGGCACCGTCTCCCCCCGTGGAAGTAGACGATCCCCAGGAGTTTGTGCTCCAGCCTGCCCCCCAGGGCCGCACGGTGCGCTGCCGGCTGACCCGGGACAAGAAGGGCATGGATCGAGGCATGTATCCCTCCTACTTCCTGCACCTGGACACGGAGAAGAAGGTGGGTGTTGAGCGGCAGCAGAGGAGGGAGTGTGGAGGGGCCTGGGATGGGGGCCAGGGAACAAATGGGCCTGCTTTCTCCCAGAAGCTCACCTCCATCCCTTTCCACCTTCTCTTCCCACCCTCTCACCTGTCTCCCCTTTACCCCAGGTGTTCCTTTTGGCTGGCAGGAAACGAAAACGAAGCAAGACAGCCAATTACCTCATCTCCAGCGACCCTACCAACCTGTCCAGAGGCGGGGAGAATTTCATCGGGAAGCTGAGGTGGGGCTGGGCTTCCTGGGGCTGGAGGGACTTGGGTCAGCAAGAAGGCCATAGCCAGTCATCTCTGTCCTGCTGTGCCTGGCAGAACACCCACCATATTGTGCACCCTGGAAATGTCCCCTAGCCCAGGGCCTCTCACTTGGAGGTACACAGATCATTTGGGGAGCTTGTTAAAATGGTTCAGTGTGTGGGGTGAGCCTGGAAGTCTACATTTTTAATGAGTTCCCAGGTGATGCCCACACTGCTGCTGGCCCAGGGCCTTACTTGGAGTAGGGCATAAGTTCTACGAGGGCAGGCACCGGGCCTGTCTTGTTAATGGCTCAATTCCTAACGCTGAACACGTGTTAGCTTCTCAACAAGTATTTACTGAGCAAATGAATGAACATATATTTAGCACTACTCTGTGCCTTCTTCCCATACACCTCATCTAATCCTCACCACAGATCTGAGAGCTGGGGAAGTGGATACCCACGTCAGGCCTTATTTCATAAATTTATGTATTTAGGCCAGGCACGATGGCTCACGCCTGTGATCCCAGCACTTTGGGAGGCCAAGGCTGGTGGGTCACTTGAGGTCAGGAGTTCGAGGCCAGCATGACCAACATGGTGAAACCCCATCTCTACTAAAAATCCAAAAATTAGCCAGGCGTGGTGGCACATGCCTGGAGTCCCAGATACCTGGAAGACTGAGGGGGGTGAATCTCTTGAACGTAAGAGGTGGAGGTTGCAGTGAGCTGAGATCATGCCACTGCACTCCAGCCTGGGTGACAGAGCAAGACTGTGTCTCAAAAATAAATAAATTTATGTATTTAACAAGACTTTTATAAGGCCAATTTACGTGTCAGGTGTAATTCTAAGTCACTTCATGCATTCAATCCTTATTGTCCAAAGGAGGGAAATGCTATCACTCAGCCTATTTTATAGATGGGGAAGTTGGGGCTCAGAGAGTTTAAGTATCTTGTCTAAGATCTCACATCTAGTAAAAGTAAGAGATGGAATTGGGATTTTAACATTGCCTAGTCTCCTTTTAGATTCAGCCCTTTTTTTTTGGAGACAGGGTCTTACCCTGTTGCCCACACTGGAGTGCAGTGATGTGATCGCAGCCTCGGCTCACTGCAGTCTCGACCTCTTGGGCTCAAGTGATCCTCTCACCTTAGCCTCCTGAGTAGCTGGGACTACAGGCATATGCCACCATGCCTGGATAATTTAGGGGTGGGTGGGTGGGGACTTTTTGTAGAGATGGGGTTGCCTGCCATGTTGCCAAGGCTGGTTTCAAACTCCTGGTCTCAAGTGATCCTCCCTCCTCCGACTCCCAAAGTGCTGGGATTACAGGCTTGGCCTACCATGCCCTGGGTTGGGCCAGCATTTAAAAAGACCTCTGCATAGGGGGAGGCCTGGATCACGGGACATGAAATTGTTCAGTCCTAAGACACCCCACCCTTGTAGGAAACTCTCTAAATTGCTTGGCTATATAGAAGGGGCCTGGGGCAGGGATGTAGGATCCCCTCATCCCTGCCCCAAGCTCTACTCTGCTTGCAGGTCCAATCTCCTGGGGAACCGCTTCACTGTCTTTGACAATGGGCAGAACCCACAGCGTGGGTACGGCACTAACGTGGCGAGCCTTCGGCAGGAGCTGGCAGCTGTGATCTATGTGAGGACTCCACCTGTCCCCTGTGCCAGGCTGCTCCCCTTACAGGGTCCGGCCTCACAGGCATCTGTTTCCTTCCCAGGAAACCAATGTGCTGGGCTTCCGAGGCCCCAGGCGCATGACAGTCATCATTCCTGGCATGAGTGCGGAGAACGAGAGGGTCCCCATCCGGCCCCGAAATGTGAGCCCTGCGCCTCCCTGGTCCCTGGCCTGAGGGCCTTGTTCTCCAGTCAGGGCTCAGCTTAGGAAATAGCCTATTCCCTGAGCACATTCATCACCCTCCAGCACAAATTCATTCTAGCCACCCGTGGAACGGATTTGGGCTTTTTGTAATTGAATTCACTGAAAAACAATAGGCTTTTTGGTTATTTTCAGAGTTTATATCAAATTCATGTATTACATCCATTCATATCTTCATTAACCACACATATTGAGTACCAGGTATTATCCTAGGTGCCTGGAAGACATCAGTGGACAAAACACAGATCTGCCCCCTTGAAGCTGGCATTCTAGTGGGAGGAGAGAGAGAGTAGACAATAATCGTGATAAATAAATAAATTGTGGAGCATTCTAGAAGGTGGTAAGTGCTATGGGGAAGAAAGGCCGGTGCAGGGGATCACTTGAGGCCAGGAGTTCGAGACCAGCCTGGCCAACATGGTGAAACCCCGTCTCTATTTTAAAAAATAGAAAAATTAGCCAGGGGCTGCACACCTCCCAGCTATTTGGGAGGCTGAGGTGGGAGGATTGCTTGAGGCCAGCAGGTAGAGGTTGCAGGGAGGCAAGACTACACCACTGCACTCCAGGCCAGCTGTAATCCCAGCACTTTGGAAGGCCAAGGTGGGCAGATCACCTTAGGTCAGGAGTTCAAGACCAGCTTGCCCACCATGGCAAAACCCCATCTCTACTAAAAATACAAAAATTAGCTTGGCATGGTGGCACATGCCTGTAATCCCAGCTACTCGGAAGGCTGAGGCAGGAGAATTGTTTGAACCTGGACCCGGGAGGCAGCGGTTACAGTGAGCTGAGATCGCACCAACTGCACTCCAGCCTGGCGACAGAGTGAGGCTCTGTCTCCAAAAAAATAAAGAAAGAATTTTTAAAAAGAAAAAAAGTCAAACAGGGGAAGGGAAGTGATAAGTGTGTGTATAGACTCAATATTAAATATGGTTGTCAGAGTGGGCCTCAATGAGAGGGTGAGGGAGTGAGCCTGCAGGTATCAGGGGGAAGAGCACCTAGGCAGAGGGAAGAGCCAGTGCAAAGGTCCTGCAGCAGGAGGTGGGTTGGAGGCACTGCCAGGTGGCCAGAGGGAGGGGAAGTCAGAGAAGTGAGGGTAAGGGGTAGACAGGGCCTGTAAAACTGATTTTTGCTCTGAGAGAAATGGGAAGCTACAACAGGGTTTTGAGCAGAGGAGTAACATGACCTGTTTTTGTTTTTGAGATGGTCTCCCTCTGTCACTCAGGCTGGAGTGCAATGGCGTGATCACAGTTCACTGCAACCTCTATCTCCTGGGTTCAAGAAATTCTCCTGCCTCAGCCTCCTGAGTAGCTGGGATTACAGGTGCATACCACCACACACAGCTAATTTTTGTATTTTACGTAGAGATGGGGTTTCACCACGATGGCCAGGCTGGTCTTGAACTCCTGACCTCAAGTGATCCGCCTGCCTCAGCCTCCCAAAGTGCTGGGATTATAAGTGTGAGGCACCGTGCCCGGCTTTTTATTTTTTTGTGACTGGGTCTCACTCTAGCCCAGGCTGGAATGCAGTGGTGTGATCACAGCTCACTGCAGCCTCGACCTCCTGGCCTCAAACAGAGCTCCTTCCTGCCTCAGCCTCAGCCTTTCATGTAGCTGAGACCCTAACCACATGCCACCATACCTGGCCAGTTTTTTGGAGAGCTGGGGTCTCATTTTGTTGCCCAGGCTGGTCTCAAACTCCTGGGCTCATGATCCTCTCGCCCCATCCTCTCAAAGTGTTGGGATTACAGGTGTGAGCCACTGCCCTTGGCATGACTTGTATTTTAAAAAGCAAAGGTGGTTTTGCATGTGTGAGAGGCACAGGTTAAGATGGAGAAATGTTCTGGAGAGACGTGTCAGCCCTATGCTCTGCTCTTTAGCACTGCAGGTCCAATGAGTCCAGGATTTCAGAGACTCTGGGTGACTTGCATGCCCCATCCTCACAGGAGACTGATGTCATTTTACTCATTTACAATGAAAGATAATACCCCTGTCAGCTGACACATCCTTCCCTGCTGGAAAGTCACAGCCCAGGCTGATCTGCAGGGAACCAGCCATGGGAGGCTCAGTGTTGAGGGTTCACTCAGCCTGTGGGCCCCACAGTTGCCCCTCCCATGTCTGGAATAAACACACAAATCCCCCGGAGGCAGCACCTCCTGCCTTTATTTGGGCCCAGTAAGAAACGCCCATTGCTGCTTTGGGTCTCTCTTCTGCCAATTACAGTGCAGTGGGAGGAATGGTAAGAGCAAAGTGTCATGGAAGCTTAGAGCTGAGACATCTAAATCAGATGGGGGTGGTCAGGAAGGCTTCTTGGAGGAAGTGATCTTGAGTGGACTCACTCTAATCTATGAACATGAGCAGGTAACAAGGAAACTCAGGAAAGCAAGATCTTAAGGGCACATTGTACAGACCCTGCTCGTTCCTTTCAGAAACTCTCGTCCAAGTACACTTTCTCTTAACTGTAATTTACCTGTCCATCTCCCCAGCTCAACTGTGTGCCCCTTGTAGGTCTGAGATCGGCTCCTCCTGCCATTAGGTACCAGCATGTGTCCGTCTCCTAAGACCACTTGGGTACCAGTGGCATGGAATGCCTATGTGCCAGATAGATGCCCCTTGCCATTTTCTAGCCCTCCGCTTTGACATCCCAGAGACAAAGCCCCATTCTCATGGACGTGCACCTATCCACAAGGACACCACAGATGTCAAGCCTGTTCTCAGATACCCTGATGGATGGAGATGTCCAGGCCGCACGCCTGCACACACATAAAAGAGCATGCATAAATGGCCAGGCCCCTTCTCCAGTCAGTCCTGAGCCGTCTCAGCCATCTCTAACTGTCCTCTCCCTGTCTATTCCCCTGGGGCACCCCAGGCTAGCGACGGCCTGCTGGTGCGCTGGCAGAACAAGACACTGGAGAGCCTCATCGAACTGCACAACAAGCCACCTGTCTGGAACGACGACAGCGGATCCTACACCCTCAACTTCCAAGGCCGGGTCACCCAGGCCTCAGTCAAGAACTTCCAGATTGTCCACGCTGATGACCGTGAGTACCAGCCCAGGTCTGGCTCTCCTCTGCCAAACACAGGATGCTGACCCTCACTCAAGCTCCCCTCACCCCCTCACACACACACACACACACACACACACACACACACCAGCCTCTATCCCAGGAGCTGGGACATCCTGCAAGGTCACACTCTCCTGTGGCACTGACGCTGTGCTCTCAGGAGCCTCAGATATTCTAAGTGGGTGTCTTGGAGCTCGTCATTCCAGGTTCCCACTCCAGCATTGACCAGAGCAGAGCAGAATATCCAGGGACATTCTGGATAAAATCATGTTGAAGGGAGGGTTGAGCTCCTAGAGTCTGAAAAGCACTGACAGCCCAACCCCACTGTGATCAAAGAGGGTGCTGAGGCTCAGAGAGGGCAGCCCTTTGCCCAAAGTCTCTCAGCTCCTTCACCAGGAAGTTACACTGGCTCTCAAAATTTATTTCACAAAACTTAACACAGTGCTTACTATGTGCAGGGCGCTGTTCTTGGGATTTTACAGATACTGAATCATTAAATCCCTTCAACATCCCTGTCCAGGGAGTGCCATTGTTATCCCTATTTGGCAGAAAACAGGCACAGAGAGGTTAAGCAACTTGCCCATGGTCACATCCTAGTAGCGGGTACAGCTGACAGTCTGGATTTCCAGTGGCCATGCTCTTAACCTCTTCAAGATGGCTGCCTTTCAGGGGCAGGGAATATTAAGCATTTTTGAGTGCCTACTCTGTCTTCTCTCAAGTGAGGTCAAAGGACTACCCTGGAAGAGTCAGGGAAACAAGATGTCCCTGTTAACAAGCCTTGGGGAAGGGCTTCCTTCCCACTAAGGTGAGGAAGTTTGGGGATGGAAGCCTATCTCCCATAGGTCTCTGGGTTCCCAGGGTTGGACCAATGCTGAGCAAGCCCCCCACCCCTAACTGCATCCTAGGGATGTGTCCCCAGTGCCACCTGTCCTGTGGCTGTAGGACTGCTCTCCAGATCACCTTTCTGGTGGACCCTGGTCCACCTGAGTTTGGGGGTATTTTGAGCAACTTCCTGTGGATGCTGGGAGAGGTGCTGAGGTTGGAGCTGGTAACCTGGACCAGAGAGGGGAGAGGTGCCCAGTAAAGCTGAGGAAGGGGACCAGGGGGCTAGTCAAGGGGTGGGACTTCGGGGCTGGGGATAGGAGGAAAGAATGTGCCCAGAAGCAACAGAGACGTTGGGAAGGAAGAGTTCTGGGCTTGGAAACATTTGACGGGGTCCTATAGTTAATTAGGTGCAGGCTTTCGGCATGACCTTTGGCAGCAGCAGACAAGGCAGGATCCCTGCCCCCAGGAGCTTACAGTGTGACTGTGAAGCCATATGGAGCTGGTGTGGAGTGATAGGAAGACGGGATGGGTGTTGAGTAACTGAGATGATGGCTGAGGGTTGGAGCCCCAAGGCAAGGGAGAAACTGCCCCCAAGGTTGAAGGCACTGTCTGCCAGGATGGGGGTCCAAGGAGGTCTCGGGCCGCCCCCACCCCTGTCTTGTGTCCATAGCTGACTATATCGTGCTGCAGTTCGGCCGCGTGGCGGAGGACGCCTTCACCCTAGACTACCGGTATCCGCTGTGCGCCCTGCAGGCCTTCGCCATCGCCCTCTCCAGTTTCGACGGGAAGCTGGCCTGCGAGTGACCCCAGCAGCCCCTCAGCGCCCCCAGAGCCCGTCTGCGTGGGGAAAGGATTCAGTGGAGGCTTGCAGGGTCCCTCCAGCGAAGCCCCCACGGAAGACTGCTCCTGTGTCGGGGCTGACCCGTCACTGCCTCTCAGTGACCTCCGTCCGCTCCCCAGCCTGGCACTGGCCGAGACCGGAGGAGCCCGGACGGACGGCGAGTAGGACGGAGATGAAGAACATCTGGAGCTGGAGCCGCACATCTGGTCTCGGAGCTCGCCTGCGCTGCGGCGCCCCCCTCCTCCCGCGCCCAGTCACTTCCTGTCCGGGAGCAGTAGTCAGTGTTGTTTTAACCTCCCCTCTCCCCGGGACCGCGCTAGGGCTCCGAGGAGCTGGGGCAGGCTAGGAGGAGGGGGTAGGTGATGGGGGACGAGGGCCAGGCACCCCAATAAAGCCGCGTCCTTGGCCAAGCGGAGCGATGGTTCCTCAGCGCGCGCGGAGAACAAGGCGGAGGCAGGCGTCGGAGGCGCGGGCTGGGAGCCCCAACCCCCGCCCAGGCCCCGGGGCTCCCGCGTCCCCTCCCTGCGCCCGTCGCGGGTCCTACCGAAACTCGGCGGCCGCGCAGCGTCGAGACGCCCCCCGTGGGGGCCCGGGGAGCCAGGGCGAGAGGGAGGGCCCCGGAGATCGGGGAAGAGGGAGAAAGGGAGAAGAAATTCGAGAAACGAGCCACTCGGGGAGAACCAGACAAACCGGGTTCCGGCAGGGCGGACGCAGCCGCTAGGGCGGAGCCGGGTCTGGGGCCTCGGGAGTGGGGGGCAGGCCCGCGAGCGGGAGGAGCGCTCCGTCTCGGCAGCTCGGGACTGGGGTAGAGGGGCCCGGAGCCCCGGGGCCCGTGCGCTCCGGCTCCACTGGGCTCCTCGTGACGCGGCACCCACGGCCCCGGCACCGACGGGAGCCCTGCCCACGAGACGGGAGCCCCGCCCTCGGCCCCGCCCCAGGCCTGAGCCCCAAATTCCGGCGGGTACCCAGCAGCCGGGCAAGGCCCGGTGAGCTGGGGGAGGAAGGCAGCGCCGCACGGGCGGGCGAGGAGCCAGGCGCCCAGGCGCGCAGGCCGGGGCGGCTGAGTCGCGAGGCCCGGGGGTGGGCGGCCCGAGCCTGGCTGGACGGCCCCGCCCTTCTCGGCCAGCACCGCCCCCTGCGAGCCCCGCCCCCTTCTTCCCGCAGCCCCCACCCCCGCCCCGGCTCCTCAACACAAACTTTCCGTCCCGCTCGCTCCCTCCTCCGCGCCCGGCGCCTCCCGCTCCAGCCCGGCTCATTCCGCACATTCCGGCCAGCCCCCTCCCCACGACCCCCCTTCCCCGGCCCCCCTCGAGGCTCCCTCGGGCCCGGCGGAGCGGCCTGGCCGGAGCGCCCCCGCGAGCTCGGACCAGGTAAGCCGGGCGGACGCCGGGAGGAGGCCTGGCTCGGGAGAGGTGGTTTGGTTGGTCGGCTGGTCTGGCTGGGGTAGCGACATTCGAGGGGGACTGGGTCCCCGAGCTATTGTCCAGCCGGAGCTGGAGCCCCGGTTCGGGGTGCCGGGAAGTTTAGAGGGAAGGGGGAAAATCTCTCCGGGAAGCCCCGCCCCCCGCCCTCCCCACCCCCCCGCGACAGGGACTAGTCGGTCGGGGTGAGGTGGGGAAGCCGGGGAGACCGTGTCCCCCGTGCCGTCGCCTGTCCCGCCGTCCGCGCTTAGGGGGTCCGGGCGGGGATCTGGGGGCCGCACTATGTGGAGGGCCTGCCTGCCACCAGGGAGCTCATATCCGGGGCGCCCAATCCCGGGCCCCGCCGCCCTTTGGACTCCCGGCCCGCGCGCTCCCGGAGCCCGCCCGGCCTCAGCTCCACGCAGGCCTTGGGCCCGGCCTCCCTGCGCCCAGGCCGGTTTCTGTGCACGGTGCCTGCAGCTGCGCTGGGTAGTGGAGGGTGTCTGGGAGCAAAGCCGCGCGCCCTGGGCGTGTGTTCCCTGAGAGGCAGGGACTCATGTTCCCTTCAGTTCTGCCGCCTGGTCGGGGTAGGGGTTCAGAGTTCCAGCCCTGAGCTCTGTGAGCTTGGCTCGGAGGGTTCTGGATTTGGGGGCCTTTTCTTTGCCACACTTCCTCAGAGCCCTTGTTTAAACTTGAGAGAGTTTAAGGGTGGCTGGGCCCCTGCTTCTTACCCAGGTCCCCTCCATTGTCTGTCATGCCCTTTATTCCTGCCGGGGAGGGAGGGCCGCGGGCACTGGTCTGGGTCTGTTTTCCAGCCTAGCAGTGCCCGCGGCCCTGGGGCAGTGTCACTGAGACCCTGCTCTGTCAACTTTCCTGGTGAGGGCCCCTGATCCAGGGCTGAGAGATTCTTTCAGTGTGAGGGAGGGAGAAGGAGGCCTTGGGGGCAGGCTTCTCAGGGACTGTCTCCTTCTGTGTCTTCCTTCTTTCCAGGTAGGGGCAGAACCAGGTCAGGCCTGGACTTGTTGTCCAGGAGAACAGGGCATAGGGGTAGGGGCTGGACACAGCTCAGAGGGGCTGGTGCCCATGGCGGCTCTGTGTATCCAGTCTTTTGTGGCCTGGTTTTCTGTACACATGTTCCACCCCAGTGCTGGGGCCACCTGGGACAAGGAGGGAAGGCTCCCTCTAAAAGTTGGAGATTTGTGGGAATTATGTCCCCTCCCTTCTAGACTCCTGTAGCCTCCCCCTCAAGACCCCTCTCCTAGGGGCACGCCCTAAAGGATGTGGTTCTGTGGTCTTCTGGGTCCCTGTCTATACTCACCCAGTGGGCAAGGAGTGCACTGATCTTCCAGGACAAGGCTGTCCAGTAAGGGTGACTTCAGGGGCCCTGGATGGCCCCTCCTCAGGGAGAGGGTAGGAGCCAGTATGAGTCCCAAGCTCTTGGGCCTTCCCCCACCCGCTAGGGAGGGAGTCATCATTAATGCTAATGAGTGCATCTGGGTTGGGGAATGGCTTATTAGAATGGTCAGTGGTTGCCAGGACAGAGCCGAGTATTAAGTGTATGTACAGGAGCATTGCATGGGTCCTGAGCCCTGCTCCCACCCTCACCCTAAGGTTTGCAGACCCTGGCACATTCTGCCAATTGAAGGAATATCAAAATCAGAGGAGACGTCTCAAGAGAGGAGATCAAGAAATAGGGATCTGGTCTTAGCTGGACCTTTAGCCAGTTGTGCCATCTTGGCAGGCCCCTTTGGCCTCAGTTTCCCTGCTTGGAATGAATGACTTCTCAGGTCACTTTTCTCTGAGCCCTTCCCAGTCTGTCTCCCAGTTTGCCCTCCTTCTCCCATGATGGAACCTGAACCTGGTGGGGTCTGGAGAGGTGGGTGAGTGATCCAGTGGCCCAAGGAAGAAGGCAAAGAGAAACCAAGGGGTGACTGAGGAGTAGCTCAGGTAGGTGAGCAGGGCTGAAAAGGCGGCAGGCAGCAGGTGTCAAGGGACAGGGAGACTTGGTGGATTGGGGGATCTTGCCTCTGAAGTGGTTGTGGGTTTTGGTAGGGCTGGATGGCACAAAGGGTGTTCAGAGGCCACTTGGGTGGCCCAACCCCCTGCCCCACTCCCACACACATCTGGGGGCCCCAGGACGCAGTGTGGAAATTGTTCATCCTGCCCTCTTCCTCCTCCCCATTCAGGATGAGGAGAGGAGCCCAGGGGTCTAAACGCCGCAGCTTTCTACGGAGGGTCTAGGAGGTCACAGCCTCTTCTTCCCACATGGGGGCTGTAGAAGCTGGGGGGTCACAGTGGTAGCACTGAGGATCTGCTTCTGGGTAGAGCTGGGAAGGTCAGCAGATCACACACTCGGCCCTGTCCCTGTGGCCTTGCCCTGCCTTCCCTCCCCTCCCTTCCCCTTCCCTCCTTTCCCCTCCCCTCCCCTCCACTCCTGGTGTTGTGCTAGCCCTGGGCTGTCTTCGGAAGGGGCTGCTTCCCTCCACGGAGAACCCTGCCGGGGAGAGGGCTCTGCCTGTCTTCCCCGACCCACAGGAGGTTGAGGCTAGGGCCAGAGAGGTTCATCCCCCTGCACATCCCCAAAGTCTCAGCCCTTGGGGTTTCCTAGAGTGCCGATTGCTTCCTGTGCTCCCTGCCAGGCCTGAAAGGGCAGGAAGTGTTAAGAGGGAAATGAGAGTGCAACTGTGTGTGACGCTGGATGTGTGCGAGAAGCCGTAGGGGGACATTCTGTGTGGGTGAGACTTGCCTTACATGGGGCTGGATGTGTGTGGGTGCGAATCCTGGTCAGAGCGGCTTGTGTGGGGCTGGGTGTCTGCAGGAGAGAGACTGTGACTTTGTGACATTCGTGTGTGTGACAGATATACACGCCCATAAGAGAAACCAGTGACTCTTCATGTGTCCGGGCGTGCCGCTGCCTGTGTACCTGAGAACTTGCATGGGGGACGTTCTGTGTGTGCCAGGGCATCACCCTGGACGTGCCGATAAAGGAAGCCAGCTGCCTAGCCATCTGTGTGTGCCTGCGGATGACACTGGTGTGGCTCTGATGCTCAAGTGACCTGCGTGCAAGGGACACCGAGCTCATGTGATGCTGTGTGTATGTGTGCGTGCGGGCGTGTGTACGTGAGAAGCTGGATGAGTGGTGATCTGTGTGGTGTGTTATGCCGTGGTGTGACCACTTGTGGCCTGTATGTTGTGATGCTGCATGTGAGATGGCCTTAGGTTTGTCTGTGTGTGACTGACATGTGATACTACATGTGAGTAAAACAACATGACCAACTCCGTGTCAGTATGATGTATGTGCCAGCAAGGTGGGCCCCATCCGACATGTGTGCCGAGCATGAATATGGTGTGTGGCGTGTGGGTGACACTGAGCACCTGAAAGCAACGCCATGTGTGAGAGAAACTGGGGCGTGACCGATCCTGGCACTGTGGGTGGGTGGTCACTATCAGCATGTTTGGGACTCTCGGGTAGTGTGGGTGATACCCCTAGGGCTGTGCCAGGCAGGGCGTATAGGAGGCTCTGTGGGATACATTTGGGGCCTGTGGTCCCTGACACATGTGGCATCTATGTGGAAGACCACGAAAAAGACACTGATAAAAACAGAAAGAAAGAATGCACTTAATGCCACTCAACTGTACACTTAGAAATGGCTAAAATGGTAAACTTGATGTTACGCATAGTTTATCACAATACAGATTTTTTTAAAAACCTGACAGGAGAGAGATGCAGGTAACAGTGAACGTGCAGGACAGTGGCTGTGACGCAACTGTGTATGTGCAAGCGAGAGGAGGGGCGCAGAGGAAGCCTGTGTGTTTATAGATGACACCAAGGCACTGACTGCGTGGCTGGTGGGAGCCCAGTGGGTGACCCAGAGTACCAGGAGTCTGGCATGGTAACTGAGGAACCTGGGGCCCCCCCACAGCCTGTCTCCCACTGGATACCTGAGCTTCCCGCCCTGGGACCAGGACCAGATGAGGAGACGAGTCAGTCTCAGGGAGGAGGTGAAGGT